TTTAAGGGTCCATTCTCAAATAAGAGGAGTGTCAAATCTACCGTGTATGCCACTGACAACTACTGTAAAGGTGGTACAAAACATGATGTTGTTGCATGTGCCTTGTAAGAGACATTTGCACCATTTTGAACTGCTTTCGCAAGTTTAAAACGTTAGAATATGTGTGAAGTATTAGAAGGATTTGAAGAGTAAAGCACAGCATATACAGCAGTGACAATACTTCAGGATGGTGCCAAAGCCTCAGTGCAGGGGGGACAGCATGTGTAGACGTAGTACTTGTGTAGTGACGAGGCTGACAGGTTGAAATCGGACGACCGTCTGCATGGTGTGTGCATTCAGGCTGCATTTGGTGGGCGTGTGCGCATGTGTGTACACCCTTCAAGGCCATTTCAGTCTTAGTGCAATGGCCAGACCCACCGGCAGACCCACTAACACCTTCTCATCCCATACTGTCCTTACTATCAGTGTGTGGACTTCATCAGGTGCGTCCCAGTCCACTTCTATTGGCTTATAAAGTTTGTTTAAATGAGTCATGAAAGTCTCACAGGACAGGAAGAAATGGAGGCTGCTTTTCCACAAAGCCTCACCGTACACATCAAACGGCCCTGTGTCACTTTCTGGGGTTGTACGTAGGTCACCTTCGGGTGCCACGACGAGCCCCTTTGGGACAGTTGGAAGCATGCAGTGTGGTGGAGAGAGCTGGAGAGCTGACATAGGAAGCATCTAAGCCTGTTTCTGTTGTTCTGTCCCATTTTTCCTCCTTCTAGAGAGTGGGAGAGCCTGTAAGTCGCATTCTCTTTGCCTAGCTCATGTGCTCGTACCTCTGGGTGTGTGGTGTGGTGTGTGTGTGTGTGTGGTGTGTGGTGTGTGTGTGTGTGTGTTGTGTGTGTGTGTGTGTGTGTGTGCGCACATGTCTTTGTCCTTGTTTTTATGTGCTAATGTGCATGGATTTCCTGTTCCAGCATCAAGCAGTATGTTGGAAAAGCCTCCATTGATTAAATTTGCATGTATTATTTGTGACATTTTTTGTATGCAGGAGCAAATTTGTGCTTTCCATTTCCCTGTTTGTTATTAGCTAATGCAAAATAAATGTTAATTTTGGTCTTGACATTGTAATATAAATGTTTTTCGTATTCAGTAGAATGGAAAGCAGAATTTTGTGAAATTGTCCCGTTGCTTTATTGCTTTGTGATCTCACATTGTGAAGGTGATGATAAAGAGGCAACATTTAAAGAGAGAGCACATGTAAGATGCTATTTTTGACAGAAGTTAAAACTATTAATAAACTGAATACAGTTAGTTTGAATTGGCTTGGACAAACTAAACAATAATGCATGTCCCCTTTGTCTTAAAACACTGTCTCTTTATTTGAAATTCAACACGCTTCTGTCCCTTTAACTGCGCCTTGTTTTCTCATTTGTGTCTGACGCTAACATGCAGAATGCTTTTACTAAAATGCAACTTTTCTCCTTGATAAAATGTTGTTATTACAATGATTATGTGTTATACCATTGATGGTGTTTTAAGTACAAAGTGTATTAGTGATGTTTTGATTCATAGGCAAGTCAGAAAAACGGCCTGTTCCATTTGTTTTTCTGTTGTATAACCATGTAAACAAGAGACTCCTGAAAAGGAGAGCTTGTTCTCAGTGAGTTTTTTGGCTATACTGTAAATGAAGGTTTTATTCATTTAAAGAGGAGAGCATGAGCAAAGGATTTTCCACTGTGCAGCTCCTTTTTTACCTAGCACTGCTTGATACAATAGGCCTTTTTCACAGAAAAGTTTTTTATATAATAAACTGAAAATTGAATTCCATTTAGCTGCTTCAGTTTTAGGGTCCTGGTATTGTATACGCTGGCTCACTGTCACACTGTCCCAACTTACTGGGACACTAGAATAGAACAGAGCCATTGTCAATGTTAATAGTAACACCTGTGATTTTCTTGCTATGACAAGTCAAAATGTTTGCTGTGAAAAAGGGCTACGGCAAGCTAAGTTCCCTGTATTATCTCTAAGGAAATGTAGGCTTTAGTTTACTTTAGTCTGGTTCTAAATGTTTTTTTCAGTGCTGCCATTTCTCACTATGAGCTCCTTGTCAAACTAGGAACCAGTCAAATGTTCGTCGGATGCACACAGCTGTCAAGCTGAACGAGGTGGTGGTCAACAAGTCGCAGGGAGCTCACCTGGTTCTGCTCAACATGCCTGGACCACCTAAGAACAGAGGAGGAGACGAAAACTGTATCCTTAGGCAGCTATAATCAATATTTTTATTATAACAATCTATTACAGTGTGGACACATTGTGAAAGAAGTGAGTGACTCAGATATTTCCCTCAGGAGTTGGTGGCAACCAAAAACAGAGCAAAAAGAGAGTGAATACTTATATTTTCCAGTTGACACAAACACAATTCCAACTGATCCTTCCTAAGTCCCTCCTTTTTCTGCTCTGTGCTCCACAACAAGTCTCAATCAGAACCTCTGTCAACTTCCTCTTTCCTGTACTTAATTTTGCTATGTGCTAGGCTCGTCTATGTTGAAAAGATAACCGCAACCGAATGCTGGCCAGTGTGGTCTGATCCAACAGACGAGCTACTGTAGCCTAACATGCTGAAAAAGTTAATGCTGATTCTGATAGAACGGTGTCAGAACACAGTGCATTACAGTTTCTTGGTATGGGGCTGCATGACATTATAACCACCAGGGTGCCCAGGTGGTCAGAACGTTATGTCTGATCGGTGTATATCGCCGGTATCTTTTAAAGGTCCAGTGTGTAACATTTACGAGGATCTCCTACAAATTTCACAGCCCGTTCTCTTTCCTAGGTTGTTGACAGACGCCAGCGATGTTCAGTTGCAGTCTGAAACTTTGCCACTCGATGCCACTAAATCCTACACACTGATCCTTTAATCTAGAGTCTAGCTCATAGCATATCAGGTACAGGAAAGGAGAAAGTAGACTGAGGTTCTGACAGAGGCTTGCTCAACTGTTATTGGAGCACAGAGCGAAAGGGGTGGGACTCAATTAACTGCTGGATGTTTTACCATCTCAACTTATATGTCAGTGTTGTGTTCTCAACTGGCTTCTGCTACCCCTAAGTGGCCAAAAAAGAGATTATTGCAAGTTTTACCACCATTGCAATTCATTCTAATGTATACTGTAGTGAATACTGACTGTGTTGGACAAGAGTTCTGCCACAGTAGAGATGGTGGAGGGGAGTAATGTGGTACTGTTCCGCTCTCTGTATGTTCTGTACCTTGACTGCTGTCTCCCCAGACATGGAGTTTCTGGAGGTCCTTCTTGAGGGTCTGAACCGGGTCCTCCTGGTGCGAGGTGGTGGCCGAGAAGTCATCACCATCTACTCTTAAAGAAAAAAAACTTACGCCCCACCATGCACACATGGGCTGTTGCCGTGGATACCAGTCACCGGGCATTTTCTGGGGAAGAAGCCTAATTTGGTTTTTATGAAGGGGGCGGGGGTTGTTGGAAGGCGGGACCACTTGTGATTGACAAATGTCTGAAGGACCTCGTGATGAAGGAATCAAGTTAGCGTGGAATCATTTGACTGGCTGAGAGTACGAGCACAGTGTGTGTCCACGCTGGGCCACAGTACCCCTGCACATGGAAGATAGAGCATAGAGACACTTTATATTGTTCATTTAACTCTGGAAACGTTGTTATGTTCTGTTACATTTTCATAATCTTTCCCTCTCGTGTTGATGTCGTCAAGTTGCTTGCACTCGCTATGTAAAGATAAGCAAAGAAGTGAATGTGTGCTGTTGATATGAACCTCGTAGTCTTTCTTGTTGTCTGGTGTGCTCGACTCTGGGAGGCGCAGAGACGTTCACTGGACCTGAGAAAAACAGCACAGAGAGGACAAGTTACAGAACGGCTTTGAGCTCAGTGTAGAAAGGTCACTCATAACAACACATACTAAGTTTTCAGTTTGGTGATTTGTACGGCCTGCATCACCATTCATACGTTTCATTTAAAATAAACTACATACAGGGCAAACTGTGTTTAGAAGCTGCTAAAACATCCTGGTTAGGTAGTAGAGTTGTGTGTGGCCAGGAGGATGTTGAACGCACACCAGATGTTGGAACACCTTCCTTTAGGTGGGTGGGAGTAGTGGGGTACTGATACTTGATGATAGGTCAACATTTCCCACTGTCAAAGAACGCTGTTGTTTTAATAGGGAAAATAGCCATAGTTCATATTCTAGGACCCTTTGTAAGCTTTATAAAAGGACATATCTAATGCACATGTATACATATTTATGGTGTCTGAAGTAGTGCTCAGTTGGGAATAACTATAGATTTTTTTAATCCAAGGGCTGTTTGACAGTGTGCAGTAGGTTCATGAAATATTAGATTGGCACATTAAATCTTTAATTTGCATTTAACAAAGTATTGTTTTAAAAACGTGAATGCACAAATTGATACCTGAATTAGTGTAATTCTTCCCATATCGATGAAGTTACAGCACTGTTGACTTTGCACTACCGATCTTTCAGCACTTAATTCACTGCGTACTGTCGCCCGGTTCTGTCGCCTACAGTGGCTCTTTCTACTAGTCAATACGCCACTACATCCTTCTGACATACGAGGACTGAGATACCGATAAATGAGCTCGCGAAAAAGGATGCAGGAAGCAAATAATTCCATACTATTTAATACTCATGTTTCAATGTTGTTTTTATAATATTTTACCAAACGTAAGATCTTTAGGCTTTGAGTCCCAGACTGAGTAGATGACTTATGAGGATGTGTAGGAGAAAAAGTGCCAAAATGACTACAAAAGAAACTGTGGAAGTATTATTAATACATTAGCAGATACTGCTTTTTACATCGACAATCTTTAAACCCCATAAAGCACATTTTTTTTATGATACAGCTCCTGATTCCTGCTAGAATTCTTGTCAAACTCTGCATATGAATAACTGAGCAAATGCAGCTAATTGTGCAATTTCCAGGGCATTTCAAAAACATGCTGTAAAATGTATTGTGTCAGAAGAAAAGAAGGAAATCTGATTAAGCCCTTTCTCACGTGTACCTCCACAGTTTCTTTTTCTAATTAGCTGTGCAGTATTTTGTAAAGCAGAAAGTCGTGTTCTCCTGCAGTTCTTTGCAGGGGAATGAGAACTTCTGATTGTCAGTTGTGCAACATCCGTGTTTTGTTGTGTTTTTTTGTTCAGTTGTCGATGTATGCCTGTGTAACTATATAGTAATGGTCTACATAGTGTTTGTTACATTATAATTGATCTTTCTGTTACTTTAAGTGTTTATTTTCAGTGTGATTTTTATGGGAGGAGGCAGAAAGAGGTTGTATGTGTGAAGACGGCAGCACTGTTTTTGTGCTTTGTTCCAACCCACCAGAAACACAGCATGCACACAGGACCGAAAACCCCTCTGGATACAGGGGCACCCCGGACTGAAAATATTAAGAAACTTGAATGAAGCAACTGGGGTAAAAAAGAATGGTTTAATTAACTCAGTAACTATATCAAGGTCATTTCAGTTCCCTTGTTCGGTTTTATATTTTAGCCACCAAAGATAAAACATAATTCTGTGTAAATAAACTTAAAATTGTCTAGTTTTAAGTTTGAAAGTTGTAAAGATAAATTATTATAGACGTTTCTTTTTTTTTAATTTGGTTACTGAGCTGAATAGCAGTAGCTGTGCAGAAAGAAAACTATAAAGTACATGAAACCTTGAAGAGAAAATGTTAAATAAAAGAAGAAAAAGTTCCTGGAGGTAAATAGGATTGTCAGCAGTGTGTGTTTCACAGCTCTTATGTTCGAGGTGACTGGAGAATGTTATCTACCTCAAGGTGTCACTGAGGCTCGGCTGAAGGAATAAAAACATGTCCAATCACAGCTCTCTTCTCTCTCTTACATACAGATCTATGAAAGGAAAAAAAAGCCTCTGCTATGTGAGAGGACCAGCAGAATGTGTGTGAGAGTGTGTGTCCCTGTGCATAATGTTTGTGTTTCTGCTGTTGTCCGGCTCAGTTGGCAGGCCTCACAGGCTGGAACAGGAAGTCACTTGTGGGCGCATATATAGAGGAAGGTAGCCCTGTAAATTGTATTTGTGCCTCTCTGAGTAATTATTAAAAGTGCTGAAATAAACCTAAACCTGTCTGCATCCACTTATTCAGGAAGTTTTACCATGATTTTACAGAAGCCCTGAAAAGAAAGTGAATTGTTGTTTTTGTTTTTTTCATATCACTTTTTCTTTCCATTTGTGAAGTTTTTTTTGAAGGCCTACTGGTTGGCCGCAGAAGCAGGGCCTTCAGCTCCACCAGGTGCATTACCAGGTGCCCCATTCATGTTCTCTTAAAGGTGAGTTATACTTTCTCTTGAAAATGTGCTGATAAAGATACATCTCTAGCCAAAAGAAAGACATAGCAGGCTAGTGGTGTTCACTGTTAGGACTGATATCACATTGCAGAGATGGTAACAAGACAGTTTCAATGACACGTCGGAATGTTTTCTGACTAGATTTGTTAAAAATGAGTCCACAGTCAGAGCATTTCTGTCAAGCTGTATATACAAAGCAATGCCTTGAGCTAAATGCTAAAATGCCAGCATGCTAATATGTTGACAAAGGCAACTGGCTGGTATAACATTTACCATGTTCACCAACTTAGGTAAACACACCCATTTTTTGTTGCTGTATTTTGTTTATTTTTTTTTAATAGTTGGCATACTCTCTACTCTATCTCTATCAGCTCATTTGGCACTTGTTTCTATGCTAGTTATTCCTATATTGTACATATTGTGTGTATGCGTGCATGGTTTCAGTGCATAAAAGGTTCATACATTTTGACCTAATGCTCACTTATATCAAAGTTTAATACCTTTGAGTATTTTAGCTGATATTATGCTTACATGCTGGATATTCTTAAATAAATTTGTCTTTAAACAAATATGCAAACTAACAGACCTAAAACAAACCTGAGTGGAGGTAGTAGTGCAGTTTAGTACTGGTTGGTTTTGTGGGGCTTTGGGCTAGATAGGGGCCACAACTCACTTTTGTCCAGGGCCCCACTGCAGATTAATCCATCTCTGATCTTTGATTTACTTTCTCATAAATTTGAGATAGAACACTTTAGACTGTCTGTGACTGCCTTTTCCCCTCCTCCTCATTTCTGACAAACTAGATTAGACTGTTCATACAGCTGTAGGCGTACAGTAGAGGTTCCCCCTGGGGATCAGGACCCCTGCAAGGGTTCACGAGATGATTAATAAAAACCTTAATTCTTATACACAAAATTATGTTAATTTAACTGGGCTTTTTCAATGCTTTGCTTCTTTCTTGTGAAAACCTTACGCCTCTAAAATCAGTTATATGAAACAATCTGAGAAGGGAAAACTCCTGTTCAGTTGAACTGCTCACATAGACATACAACCTCTGATGGGAGGAGATATAGTTTCATATTAAGGGGTCACAAGCAAAAAAGGTTTTAGAACACTGCACTAGATCCTTATTATAGTTTGCAGACTCATAGTCTTGTTGGTGGAACATGTCCACTAGAGGGCAGCCTTGCCTTGAAGGTGGCTTCATGCTGCAGCTTGATGGCTTTATCGCTGAGCCAAATCAAGCATGGGCACCTTTTAGTATCCGATGACCAGGAGATGCGTTTACTGACCTGTACGCGGTCTTTCCCTCTCTGTGCAGCAGGCTGTCAGGGAGCCATTCAGCCCCCTCTGCTGTGGGAGGTGTCAGTCGCCTCCAGCCCCATCTGCACCTCCCCTTCTATCAAACTGGACAATCAGCTATCCAGCACCAACAGGCCTGACCCCGACCGGTCACATGCTCTGTCTCACACAAACAAACCATACCAACATCTGATTGAATTAGAGCGTGACCATGACAGAGCAAAAAGGGAGAGCAAAGCAGAGACTGCGTCATGTTTACAATTTAGAGTTCACTTCTGTTGACTCTACAAAAGTATTGACTTCTTTTAAAAGCTAATAGTTGCTCCTGGGCTGATCATAAGTTGCACTGCTGTAACTGAAGGAGGAAGTCATGTTGCTGATTGCAACAACGCCCTGAACCTGAATCCTGTTACCAAATATTCCAGTGTTTAAAAAGGCTTCTTCTCTGCTGCACATTCTGCCAAAAACTCTCCGACAAGCACACCCTTGAGCTTTAGCCTTGACTGACCTTTGACTTCTTGTAGCCTGCGGTCGCCTTTCACCACTTTCTCTGCACAATCTGTCAGTCCAAAGTACTGTCTGCCTCTATTCTGTTAGCTCTGTGCATTGTTGACCAAATCGATAGGAGAGGCTGGATGTTGACAGCGCGTGTTGAAACTGTACTGTGTGTGTGTGTGTGTGTGTGAGAGAGAGAGAGAGAGAGAGAGACTGAAAGGCACAAAGAAATGTTTTCATTGATTCTCAGCAGCAGCACTACCACTGTGGACAAAAATAACGGTTAAGTGTTGTCTGCAATTCAGTGTAATATTTGATGCTCGTGCCCATATTGATTCAAACTATAATGTTCAGCTTTTTCTGTCCACTGACAGCAGACATCAGCTGTAGATCAGCAGAGGTCCTGCCAGGTGAAAGGCCGTCATTTGGAGGTTTTGTGTTTTCTCAGCTGAGCAGGTGGACAGATGGATGCAGGCAAGGTGGGTTTTATTTACAGAAATAAAACTACTGTACAGTGTCAGGTTTTGCCTCGACTAGACGTGACCAGTACATGTATGACGGTGCAGCATGAAGAGCAACAAAGTGTGTGTACACAGGACTGTCAGCCAGGAGACCTGTGTGAAACCAAAAGTCAATGTTGACTTATTTTAAGTACAAACATAAACTAGTTAACTTAGAAAATCTATTTAACTAACACATGATACTTTATGTAACTTCTTTTCCTAAAGCTAACCAAACTGCGATGTTTCTACAGTAGCTCAGAAGGGACAAACCAAACACTGGTTCTAGATAAGGCTGTTTGTGTGTTTCACAGCCACCGTAGACAGTTGCGATCTACAACTGCACTAGATGGCAGTTGCCAATAAATCCTACACACTGGTCCTTTTAGTTCTCTGAACTTCAGAAATGAAGTTCAAGAAACAAAAATAAGACTTCAGATATAATGTTACAATTTGGAGGTTTGACCATTAGCGCTACCAAGTTTGGTTTCATGTAAAATGCAGTTCAGTTGTGGTAGCAACATGCTAACAATAGCAATGAGGAGGAAAGCTGCTAGCAAGTAAACATGGATGTAAATATGGAAAGAAGGAGGCACTCAGCAGGTTCATTAGAGCCCAGAGATACACACAGTGCATATTGGTGAGAAACACTGAATGGAAACATAACCTGTGTTTGTTTACAAGAACATTCCACACAGCACACATTTAAGATCATTCAACAACTGTTTCTGGTCAAGTTCTGCAGTGGAAAAAGTTTTTTTTTTTTTTTAATTAATTTGAAATGAACAAAACGTACATATTTACATTGAGTTGATGACTTAACACCGCCCATTGCACCAGTCACATCTTTTACATGCTGAAGGCCGCACATACCCAGCAGCAGAAGCTCAGTAATAAAGAAAATGAATTATATGAATGCAGCTTAAAGATAAGGGAAAACAGTGTTGACAATACAAAAAAGTAAAGGTTTGCACTTCTTTGTGTGTCAAAAGTGTTAATAAACATGTGCAAAGTCAAACTGTGTCAGCTGTTTAATTATAGAAAAGTTTCCTGTTACAGAACATACCTGAGAGAAAAGGCAAATACATGATTGGAAATACATTTATCATTGGACATATTCATGGATTTAAAAGATGATTCTGTACAATCATTTCAGTAAATAATAAAATAAAAATCAATAAAATGAACTACTGTGGCACATTCCCCAGTGAGGCCCCAGTGTGTGAGCGGTCCTCTCTATTAACCCCAGAGGAAGATGGTGTGTGGAGTGCACAGTGGACTCCGCCATGATGATATTTAAATCCTCTATCCACTTCAAAGGCTTCTGATCCCTGCTGCAGAATGCAAAGGAGCTCAGCTCTATCATATCTTAAACCTTAAAGAATGATGTCTTTCCCGCTGACAGTCTCTGTCTTGTTGCATCCTGTCAGGCAGTGTTACACGGCCCTGTGGAGCGTAAAGCGTGCACTGTACTCCACTGTAGGGTTAGGGCTGCAGTTCCCTGTGCAGCTGAGTGAGTAAAGCTGGTCAGTAGAGCTGCACGTGTTTGAAAGCTGATGTGAAATCAGAAATGTGTGTCATAGAGGCAACATACAACAACCAGGAGGAACAGAGGACGTAGAGCTACCAGTATGGTGATGTATGGTAAATAGTGTTTTCAGTCACGCTGTGCAGAACATCTGAGGGAATATAACACCTTAGAATGGCTCTAGTGTCACTGTGTCTCAAAGACAATTTCGAAAAATACAAAGACAATTCTTCACCAAAATATGCTCCCTCATTTGCAGCGAGTTCATGATGACATAGATGAAATTGAAGTACAGTAAGTGCACTGTAACCTCACCTGGCACATCATAGGAATGTTCTAATGAAATCTGAATAATGTCTGTTCACAGACCTGAGCTTGGATTTCGTTTTTTAGAATAACTCCTCTGTAGAGGACAGTAGCAGCTTCACCTCAGTGCAGGCTGTCTGGTTCTGTCCAGCAGCCGAAGGGTTAAAGTCAACTGGGGAGGAGAGCTACGTCAAGCGACACAAAGTGAGACAGGGAAAGACCGGAAACGGTCCAAGGTTGCCACTAAAATAAAAGATAGATAGATAGATA